TGGCTTCTCTAGCACTGTTTGTCACTATAGCTACATTCTATAGAATCTTCAATTTAGGTCAAAGTTAGAAATTACATACATTCCCAGAAATACATACCACCCAGCCTAGACGCTTGATATAGTGAAAGGATTTCACTAAGCTGACCATGGGCAAAAGAAGAAAAAGCGTTCAATAAAGAAAATACTATCTAACATTTTTGTCTTATACTGTATGTGTTAACGTAGTTTTGGTTTATAAGTTCCTAATGTATTTATACCTACAGCAGATAGTTTGCGATTATAAATTAGCCTGTTTTTATTATTGCATACCAAGTGTAGCTTCATCTGTAAGCATCAGTCAGAAAACTGACTAGGAAGACATTAATCCCATATATTTTTAATGTTTTCAAATAAAATTACAAGTGAGTTATATTTCTTGACAAACTGTGAGTAAGCCAGCACATTTTCCTTTCGGAAGAGTAATATAGCTTGTCATCCTGTGTAACAATGAACTTTGTATTCTTTGCACTTTTTAATTTCATGCGCGTTTAATTTTTTATAATGTGTATTGAGAGGCTTTGTTGTTGTAGTTTGTCCATTTCGCAGCTGCTCGCTGTGATGTCAGAATGATTAATTAACTAATATCAACTGACAGAGATAGTCAAGCGAGCTGCATGTTGCATTATAAATATCTAAAGGAAGATGTTAACCAGATAGTGTTAATGGCTGTGTGGGTAATTTAAGATAATATAGAAATAGTGAGTATTGTATATGAAAGGATGTACTCAAGTTTGCTGGATAAAATGTTTTCATGGCTGTAATAGTAAACTCTTGAAAAGTGATGTTTTAACAAACCAAAGGATCACAGAAAAATAGTTAGTTCTCTGCTACTGGTGGTAAAGGTGTTACATCTAGTTTCCTTTTGATGGGAAGATGATTATATTATCTTGCCTGGGAGAATACACGTGTATGTACAGTATATGTGTGTTTTCACTAGACCTCTTTAGGTATGCTGTGGCATCTGGCACCCAGCCGGTAGTAGCATATCCTTTAAGTCCTGTAAGTTGTGAGGTGGAGCCTCCATGGGTCAGACTTGGTTTTCAGAGCACATAGCACAGATAAAGAAGGGATGGTGTACTCAGAGTTCCACACCCTATAATGGTCAGAAATTGACCTGGTTTGAATAGTTTCTCTCACTGACTAGCAAACAACCCTCAGCTGCTCATATGGAGGTGTTCGTAACTGATTTATTTTAGCTTGATTGCAGAATTTCAAGCGGAATATAGCCAGGTATATATAGCCAAACTTAAACTCGAGTAACATATACTCACGGCTCCTTAGTACTTCAACTGGTCAGTCTGTATCGTTGCATTGTTACATACATACACGTCACATACCTGGCTATATTCCGCTTGAAATTCTGCAATCAAGCTAAAATAAATCAGTTACGAACACCTCCTTCACATAAAGATATGAACATCCAATAAATTGGACTAAAATCCCAAGTTATCGCTCTGAAGGAACGCCCGGCAGCCCACATAACCCACTGAATATATATATATTTTTTCTGTTTTAATACCAAAAGGCCCTTTTTGCTGTTCCCTTCCCCTAATCTGAGGACCACCAGATGACATTGATTGCGCTGATCAGCTAGCTCCCTGTGTGTTTGAGTAGTGGCATGTATGAATGGGTTGTTGCAATAATCTTTTTATTGACTGTATAGGTGGTGGGTTGAACTGTGCATTCGTTTTGTGCATGAGCATATATGTTTTTTATCAATAAAACTGATTTATACTACAATTGAACTCTCCGACCCTCGTGTATAGCTGCACTAGGTTCATAACCACTTTGGATAGAACCAATTGCTTTCTCTGTTGTCACATACCACAGATGCTTGATTGGATTGAGATCTGGAGGATTTGGAGGCCAAGTCAACATCACCAATTTGTTGGTGTGTTCCTCAAACCATTATCCTGCTGAAAGAGGCCACTGCCATCAGGGAATACGGTTCCCATGAAGGGGTGTACTTGGTTAGTAACAATGTGGTACATATCAAAGTTAAATTTCCATGAATGGTAGGACCCAAGGTTTCCCAGCAGAACATTGTCCAAAGCATCACACTGCCTCCGCCAGCTTGCCTTCTTCCCATAGGGCATCTTGGTGCCATCTCTTCCCCTGGTAAGCAACACATACACAACAAACTGCGATGCACTGTATGTTTAGTAAATACTATTGTAGCGCCCTCTGCTATACACTATATTTAGTGTATATCTGGATTGTAATCAGTCTAGATGCTGTTTTACTCTGAGTTCTGTGTTTTACAGGTTTCCCTGAATTTGCTGGATTGATTGCTTCCCCTGTTGCTGAGTTGAGGACTCACCAGACAGTGAGGGAGGATCCATCCTCAGACTATGACTATGCACCTGACTCTGACCAATCCCTGAGCAGGATGACTTAGAGGTATGGCTGGAGCAAGGTGATAAAAGGTTAGGGGACACTTTCCAGAACTCTCTCCCATGGGGCCCTCCCTTGGAGGAGGTCTGTGTGATAGAGATGCCAGATGCTGGAGGCCTAGAGGCCTAAAATACTACTGGAGGCCTGGTCTGAGTCTCAGCATGTGGCAGATGCTGGGTGCCTAGAGACCTTAGATGTTACTGACAGGAAACCTGATGGAAGCTGGGCTGGAGGTGGAATCTGCTTATCGAGAAGTGTCACAGAGTAGCTGGTGAGAGCTACCGTCTGGATCCCTCTAAGAGATCCCCCACCCTATTCTCAGGTACTTTACTGAAGAGAAGCCAGTTGGTGCCCTACAAGTCCAGTGACAGTTCTCTCTCAAGTTCCTGAACTATTCCTGGCTGTTCTCTGTGCTACTACTATTACTGGCCTCTCTTAGAGGACCATTGTGCTACTGATACAATCTGGTGCTAAGGGAGAAGTCCTCCAAATTGTTTCTCGGGTATCTTGCAATCCCAAACCCTCTCTCCTGGTTGATCGTGTGCAATAAATGCTAAAAAGACCCTACGACTCGGGGGTGAGCGCTACACTGTCTTTGTTGCACTCCTTACCGAAATGTCCCTTGTAGTGGGGGGTGATCGCAGTGACAGCGGATGGGGTCGCAAACATCAGCAGAATTGTAGAAACGTCACCAGCACACCAGTCCTTTTAGGATAGCAAAAGCTTCATTTATTGAAGTTCTTTGTCATATGAACTGTATGTTTAGACACCTTTCTAAACATACAGTATTGGCTTTTGCAGCAATTTAAGCTACAGTAGTACTTCTATTGGATCAGACCACATGGGCCAGCCTTTGCTCCCAACGTGCATAAATGAGCCCTGGCCCACCCATGACCCTGTTGCCAGTTCACTGGTTTTCCTTCCTTGGACCACTTTTGGTAGGTCCTGACCACTGCAGACCTGGAACATCCTACAAGAGCTTGAGGTTTGAAGTTGCTCTGACCCAGTTAGCTAGCCATTACAATTTGGCCCTTGTCAAAGTTGCTAAAATCCTTGTATGGTCAAATGGGGAATTATAATGATTGTGTTTCCCAGTTTTACATTGTGAAAGATATCAGTGAACAAATGGAGCAATATAATTTTTGTGCAGCAAAACTGACTTATTTGCTGATAAAATGATCATATTTCAGCAAGCAACAGCTGATGAGATACTGCACGTAACACATTGCTATTGTTTTTGCACAACTGTATTAACCAGTCCAGGTTTGTTACACCAAGGGTAATCCATTTCAACTTGTTGACTTATAAATGTATTGTACATAAGGAAACATTCAATAGGATGAGTTAGAAAACCACAAGCTGCATAGGACCACCTTAAACTCTGAGGTTGCAAAAAGACAGCCAGGATCTACAATGAGGTTGTTTTGCAACTGGGGTTGTTGTATTATTTCTATAGTTAGGAGATGACACAGCTCACCAGTCTCTATGTATAGGTTAAATATTTCTTTAGGGGTGGCTGTACGCAGTAATTATGAGCATTTGCACCTTGGAAAATGTAGATTTGTAAGTATATTTGGATGAATCTTGGTAGTCAGTATATCAGTTAAAAATAACAAAAATGATGACATGCCCTATGTGTAAATTTATTTTTATTACTATTATTTTAGAGATTAAAGTATAGGATATTGCTTTCTCATGGATGCAATGTTTTGTGCTTCCCAAAATCAGCCAAGCATGTTATGTTTCTTAGAACTGTTGGAATAGCACCTTTTTATAGTAGTCACTTGGTAGCATGTTAAGTAGCTGTCATCTAAGTAGGATCTTATTGACTATCGGAGCCAGCATACTTAAGAGTCCAAAGGCAAAAGTAAACATTTTTTTTTTTGTGCTAGAAATGTTCAGGAATATTTGCTTTTTCTCTTCTGCTTTTATGACAGTCAAACATTTAATTTACTGCAGCTCCATACAATTATTTTTAAGTAGATAGAAATGTAGCATTTATGTGTATGTTAGCTACATTTTTCGGTCTGTCTCTTGTTCATGTCACAAATATGAATAAGATAACTGTTCGCACAGCTGTATGAATAATGTAATGTGCACATTTTTAGTAACAATATTTTTGTAGAAATTATTCTTCTAAATCTTAATATTTACAATTAATTTCATTATGATGTTTTAGGGGCCCATTCACACCAGCTGCATTGGGCAAGGCTGCTCAGCGCAGTCACAGCACAAAGACAAGACAATTTACCTTCTTTACAACTGGCTAAGTTCACACCACTGCATTGTGGTGGTGTGCGTTAAAAAAAGTAGTACTGAATACAGTACTACAATACTACACAGTTCACCACATTGCAGTGCGCGCCCTGAGGCTGATAGAACCTAATACAATTTCAATAAGGTTTTGCCAAAAAGTTAGTGTTATATGCTTTTTCCAGCACATTGGCACCATAGCCTAAAGAGAGCATACCAGTGGCTGCTTTCTAATGCAGCTGCTGATGTGAACGGGCCCTTAATGAATGTTTAGCTCTACAGCAATTAATGTCATTCTTTTTTTTTTTTTTTAGCCCTATTGAAACATGCCAAAACTTCTACAAAGACTTTACACTTCAGATAGACATGGCCTTCAACATTTTCTTCCTCCTTTACTTCGGTCTACGGGTAATTATACACCTATACATACTTTAAATATGGATGTATTTGCTAATGGTATTAAGATTGTCAAGTTGCTTCACTCAGGATATTGGGTTTCCATTTGATCGTTTTTCCTGCTATCTCTTATAATTAGAAAATGTGTTCAACAATTTAGTGCAGATTGCAGCATTTTACCTCTAGTACTTGATAGTTGATATGTATATGTGTAATTTTTTTGCCAGAACATTAGATTAACACAAACAAATTAAGAATCACTGAAGTTTACAATCAACACTTGCACAGTGCACAGAGGTTTCTAGGAAGACATGAGTACCAAAAATGTAAAACAGAAAACTACATTCTATTTTTGAACACTGTTGGTACTTGTACTGCCATCTCTTGAACACTTCAGTGATCCCTAACTTGCTAGCATATTTCTCTCCACATGCAGGAGAAAGACATTTAAATCCCACTCCAGCATTTGGACAGAGCAGGAGAACTTTAGAGCTGTTGTCAGGTTTTTTTTTTGTCTTCTATGTTCCCCTTTTGGGAGGATTTCCCATCAAAAAGGCAGGAAGGACCTGATGGAAAATCTCTCCAATGGGGACACAAAAACCCCACATTTTTCCATAGAGTGAGTTTGATCTTCCGACAATGGTTTTATTGCAATGTGCCTTCCTGTCGTTTTCTGAACGGGAACATAATCACAAACTGAAAAAAAAACAACTGAGAAAATGTTGAATCTTCTCTACTGTATCAAGACTAAGGCCCCATTCACATTGAACGATTCACAAATCGCGCGTTTGTCACGCAAATGCTTGCATTGAGCAAGCTAGAATCGCGGCAAAATCCGCTCCAAAAAGGGTCCTGCTGTAGCGACGCGCGACATCGACGGACAGAGCCCCATTGGATTGCATTGGAGAGCGATATCGCGCGGTAAATAGCCGCGATATCGCGGGAATTACCGCACGATAAATCGCTCAGTGTGAACGGGGCCTAAAACATGCCTGGAGTTAGGCTTGGATATTAAAGATATGGGAACATATGAGGAAATCAAGTTATTTGGCCTAGGTATGACTTAATCTCACAGAGCTAGAACAGGTTACAAATTATGACCACATTTTAATATGCAAATTATATTAATAAAACCAAGTATATATATTTTCTTAGCTTTAAAATGGAGCTCCAGGCTAACTGCTAAATACAGAGCTACAATTCATACTTCCCGTATACTGTGTTTTAATTTTATTATTTCACACCTGCCTTACACTTTGCAACTCCCTGGTTTAGATTTGTCACGTTCTTGTTCAGTTTTCATTGTATCCTGCTAGGAAGTGCTGGAGGGGGTGAGAACGAATGTTTATGGCTTTTACATGATTTCCCTAAGCTCCTGCAGATAGTGCTATGTGTTGTAAACCTAAAGAACTGTGGGCAGGGCTGGGTGTGGCTATTCACTGATATCACTATTAAAGGTGCCAGCATCAAAGCAGCTGCCAGTAAGAACACTGTCGTGATTGCACTGCAGAATGAAGAGAACTGTCACCCTATCAAAGGAACTGCATATCCAATGGTTTACTGGCATGATCAACCGGTATCAAAATGTTCTGCAGCACTTAAAAAATAAATACAGAGCCTTATGTTAATAGAATGGACAACCTCTATCAAAGGTGTAGTTTTATATTTTGACTATAATTCCAATTTTATTAGAAAGCAATATGGAAGAATGTGAACAATATGCATCTTCCTTTCCCCCCCCCCCTCCCCCCCAACACAACTCTTCTGAGATTAGTGCAGCCCCAGATATTTACCCCAAAATATTACAGACAAACTCTTCTGAATAAAGGAATATAACATATGACAATGGTAAAGTGCAAAGTGAAAGGTTACCTTTTTTTTTTACAAACAAAAACACACACAAAGCGTTGTGAATTGAACCTATGTACAGTATGTAGTTGAAAGTATGACATTTGTTAGTCAACAACAATAGCACATTTATAAAAAAATACTTGCTCTGACAGTAGCTTTTTCAGAAACAAATTAATGGTTGGCATTCCACACTGCACACATGGTTGTTGAACCACACTTCGGACAAGCAGTCAAGAATCTTCTTGTACCATGTCTATAATTTCCAACTTTTCCCTAACTCTTACTCACAGTCACTAACAGACTGAAAGGGCTTATTCACTCCTTGTCCATGGAGGCATGGTTTTCTGTACACCAATACACATGTAAGGGTTGAAAAGGTCACATAGAAAAAAAAAAATTATATATGTCCTGTTAACATCTTATGTGCAGTGGTGTGCAGAAAAACAAAGCTTAACTGACCTTGTGTGAACAAACCCTCTAACTAGCCCAATATAATACCTGCTTCCTACAGTATGTGCTGAGGTGATGTCATTAATGCTAAGTCCCAGAGAAGGAGTAATGAGATGTGAGAAGAATTAGTAACAGCTTGTAGTGACAATTAGGGATGAGCTTCAGGTTTGGGTTGATCATGAGATCGACCTGAACTCTAACAGTTTGAGGTTCGGAAAAACGGTGAAGGCCGCCATAACTACCAATTACCAATTATGCAATTCCTGGCCTTTAAACTGTCAGGTAGCATAATAGAGAAAATAAGTGGGTTTTTCAATGAGCCACACCCTTCCTATAAAAGTCAGGGTTCCTCATTGGCTGTACAGCAGCTTGTGTTTGACTACAGTGGCAGGTACCCAGCAACCATTTTTACACCGAGGGCCATCTTTGCCCTCCACCAGCAATGTCTCTATGACAGGAGCAGGGTCCACATAACAACAGACACATGGTCTAGCAAGCATGGACAGGGGACATTGCATCCCTTTTACAGTGCACTAGGTACATTTGCTCACAGCTAGGAAGGATGCAGGACGGGGACACTTGGTGATGTTGACAACTCAGTCACCTCTACTACTTCCTCCTAAATGGCCTAATCCAGATACTGTCTCTGAAGGTTATCATTAATCCAGGTTATAGTATATCTGTAAAACATAAATCAAGGCAACCGGACTTGTATTTTTCTTAGACAGTTCACTGGTCATGCGACCAGCTTTCTCAATCCAGAAATAACTATAAATCAGATATAAAAAACATTATACTACCTTGCAGTATTGATCACTCCTGCCACTTGCTGCTGGCCTGCCATAATTACAAGCTCCTACCAACATTACCAGCTGCTTCTACAACTGCTGGCCTGTCAACCTAACCATCTCTTTTCAATGCTACTGGCCTGCCACCATTACCACACTATCCTGTCTCTACTGTCCTATTCTGGTGCTCTGGCCCTGCAGACACACATCATGTTTACATAGCTGAGACTTGGCTGCAAATTCTGTAATTTTTTTCTGTAAGGGCAAAGTTTCTGGTGTATTCTGGTGATCATGCACTAGTTAGATGCCATGCATAATTATTTTGCAGCTGCACGGTTTTGCACCTTTAAAGGTTTCTGATGTATTCCGGTGATCAGGTACTGTGCCACACATAATGTGTCTGCAGCTGGTGTTTGCTGCAGGGTAAATCACACTGTGTATCTCCTAGTTTTGGACTTGCTTTGGCAATCAAGGATATTTGGGGTTATTGTATTTCTGATATACTGTACTTTAGTTCTTAATTAAAACATGCACAGTCTTTTCCGCTAAACTGCAGCTTAATTAAAGTGCTTACATAATGTGCATGGAGTCCCTAAAATATTTTGCTGACATTTTTTGGGTGAAATAATACACTGTCTAATATTGATTTTTGATCACAGGGCAGCCTGATGTCTCCCCTGTTCAAAATGTGGGCTAGTAAAAATGTTTTAAATACAGTTGTAATTTTTTCTGTGAAATAATTACACTCTAAATTTGATTTTTTTAATTCAAAGCGGACTGTTGCTCATCCTGTTTAAAATACAGGCTGCCCAAAGTGCTTAAAGCAAACTCCAAGAAGAAAGCTTTTTGCAAACTCACTCACTGCACTACATACAGTGATAATTGTGATCTTCAGTTGCGACTCAAGCAACTTCCTCTCTGCACTCTGAGCACAGGGAGTTGCTTTCTCTGTACTGCCACCATTCAGTGAATACAAGATGTTTTCCAAATAAACGAGGTTAAGATTGTGATGGCATCCACACCTCATCCAATCATAGAATTACCTGTATTCATTAAAAAATGGCAGTAAGTGACCCACTGTGTTCATTGTGCAGAGGGGAAGCCGCTGGAGGCGCAGCCAGAAAAAGACTAAAACTATGACTGTATGCAGTGCAGACTACTATAGTGATTTTCAGGATCATTGGTTGCCCTCTGGATATCAGATAAACATGATTACATTTAGCCAAGCTGAACCAACGTAAGTTTGCAAACACTTTAAATACTGTCTTTGGAGTCACTAAAATATTATTTAATAAAAAAATATTTGCACTGAAATGTGGATTTTTACATGGTTACATAGTATTGGAGGTTGAATAAAGACAAAGGTCCATCAAGTTCAACCTTTGTGAGCATGTGTATATGTGTGTGAGTGTGTATCCGGCATCGGCCGGAGAACACAGCGTGGCTCGAGGGACAAGGTATGTAAATGCTATGCGGCATTCCCGAGTGTAGCTCGGGGTTACCGCTTATGGTATGGAAAAGTAACCCCAAGCTACACTCGGGAATACTGCCAGGGAGGTTAAGAATACCTGTACCCCTGTACATTATGGTCTCTGAGGATCTAATCGATTCTTGAATGATTCAATGCTTTTTCCTGATACCACTGCTTGTGAAAGAGAGTTTTACAATTTTACCACTCTAACATAAAAGAATTCCACTCACCCTTTGTGGTTGAACCTTTTTTGCTTCAATTTCATGTGGTGGCTTCTTTTTTTTTTGTGACCGCATGTGCAATTATTATTATATTCCTTTTATTTTAATCTGAAAAATTTTAACTTTTTTTGTCCTGCAAAGCTGTATGTGGTTTAGCCAATGACGTCTGCAAAAGATTGTTGTGGTTTAGCCAATAAGGCATTCACGAGATTGATGAAATACTGCAAATGCAGTGTATGCCATATTCCTTCTGTTTTAATCTAAAAATATATAAACTATCATTTTTTTGTCCTAAAAAGCTAAATGATGGATGTGATTCAGACAATAAGGCCTACAAGAGATTGTTGAAACAATGACTATTCAATATATACCATATTCCTTTTATTTTGTGGAAATTGTACACTATACATTTTTTTGAAGCAGCAAGAACAATGTTGTTTAGCAAATGAGACCTACAAGAGGTTATTAAAATAATCCATTTGCAGTGTGCAATATATTTCTCTTTTTTTAGAGTAAAAAATAAATTTGACTGTGTTTGGCTTGAACAGCTGCATGTGGTGTGTCCTTTTTTTATGCACTCTACTCCAACTGCTGTAATGCTGTTCATTTAGTCTGTACGATATTTCTTCCTTTTTCTGTGACATATATACACTTAAAAGTGCATTCTTGGAATTAAAAGCTGCATGCTGTGTGTCCTTTTTAAAATGCGGCCTACTCCACCTGCTTCAATGCTGACTATGGGGTCTGTACCATATTTCTAGCTGATGTCTCTGAAATGATACACTCTAGTTTTGAATTCATGTTAAAACCTGCCTAGACTCTGCATCTAAAAATTGCAGCCTAGTTAAAGGTTTGACATAGTGTGCATTTAACATTTCTCATATTTCTGGCCTTTTTTACAAGAATAATACACTCCAAAATTGTATTTCAAAAGAAAAGCTGCCTCTTCAATTTCTTTTCAGTTGTGGCTTAGTAAAACCACTTTAGTCTGCATTGAGTCTGTACAACATTTCTGGCTGCTGAAATAATATACTTTAATTTGTATTATATGATCAAAACTACCTCATCTCTTTTTGCATTGCAGCCCAATCTAGTTTACAAACTCTCCAGCCACTGTGCTATATTTCTGGCTATTGTCAAATGAAATATGGCTCTAATATTTCTATTTAAGCATAACTGCCTCTGGACTTTGGTGCTGGTATATTTTAGTTTAGGAAGGTTAGTCTTCACTTTTGGCTCAGAAGAGGTATTTAAATGAAAGGATAAATTTAAATGAGTGTGTTGGGGTTAGTGTTACAAGCAGAATTAGTGTGAAGGAGTCTAACGGTAGGACACTGCTCTCTGCACTGAAAACTACAAGTAACAATATCGTGGCACTGAATACTACTATATCAATAGAGACTTAATTCACCACCATGACTGGGCTGTGTTGCTTAGCACACTGAAAATGCAAAGTCAGGTAAAATACCAGTGTTTATAATGATCCCAGTTCACACAATGCCCTATGTTGGTGAGTGCTGAACAGGTTGCATTTAATCACAGCACATGGCAGTGTGCCACAGCTCACTTAGAAAGGTCAGGAGTTTAAACAGTGAACAAATACAAAAAAGGGGGAAAATGTAATAAAACACAAGAAAAAAATTGTTGCAGCACATTGAAAAATGGAATGTCATTTTGCACATGTTGTTATATGTGTGGTGGCGTGAATGAACTACAAGGGGTGCGTTGCTTCTTATTACAATACAAAGTAAAAACGTAGACATACAAAAAACATACCCTCTCACGTAGGACTTTTAACAAATTGCCATAGCAAAAAAGTCATTAAAAATCTGCAATGAAGTTTGCACAGTTCTGGAAATCCTGAACAAAGCTGTGGGGAAAACCTGTATTTTAGAAGACATTTTTTTGATGTTTCAGACTAATCTGTCTCTGCAGCATCAGATCATAAAATACAATTTTTAGGCATGGACCTATGCTTTTTACTGTAGCTATTGATGTTGATTAATTGTTGTGTTTTGTTTTTTGGGGGTTTAACTGTAGGACTTTGATCTTTTCACAGTTTATTGCTGCCAATGACAAACTGTGGTTCTGGCTGGAGGTGAACTCTGTGGTGGATTTCTTTACAGTGCCTCCCGTATTTGTGTCGGTTTATTTAAACAGGAGCTGGCTGGGTAAGTAAGATGAACTCTTTTAGTTTTAACATACTAAATGACTAATATGGTCTATGTCAGCCTTTCTACACCAAGGTGCCTTTTGGCCTCCTCATGGGTTCCTTAGAATTTTCACGCATTGTGTTGTGTCAAAAAGATTGGCATTCTTCAGCAATAGAATAACAATCCTGGATTCCAGAGTGAGGTGCGTAAAGGAGAATAATTCAATGTGTTTCTAATCCTTGAGGAGTGTTGCATTAAATGTATTTGGAAACACCATAAGCATTTTACATATCGTAACAATCAACCCTATGGAAGATGCTCTTTCTGAAAACCAAAGCAAAACCAGTGTGGCAGAATTTAGAAAAAACCTCCAGGTGCAACTGTTGGTAATGCAGCACTGAAAACAAATTTTGTGAACACTTATTGTAATGCAAAGGAATACAGTACTATATAACGGGCCCTTACAAACCTTGTAAACCTTGATGACACACTGTATAAGGCTTTGTTTAGTGATATAAATTGGATTATGAATTGAATAAGCAATCAGTGTAGAGATGCACAAAGCACAGGTGAAAGAGAAAAGTGTATGGATGAGGCATGTGTCCTGTACCAGGACAAGGCTCTTAAGAGGTTGGCCACAGAACACAGCGTTGGTTACATTTTGCACAATATTCCAAACCATTCATTAATTTGACTGATTAGTTCCTTTCCTTAGCATCTGCTAACCTTTATATAAAATTTCAACACGCGTTAAAAAACAAAGTACACTTTGTAACTATATAAGGAATTTTGCCGTTTCCCTGGTTATTAAATTCTGAATATCGTCCCCCCCTACGGTATCAGTAGAGCTCCCTGTTTTATGTTCAAGTGACAACTTGGAAGAAATGCAATTTAAAAAAATCCCTTAGTTTACTATGCCAGAAAAAAGAACACTATGGAGACATTTATTGAAGTTAAAGATATTTTCTGAAATGTTTTAAGACTGGTGAATAAACATCCTAAAATACAGAATAAATAAAGATCAAAGTAAGAAGGTATTTTAATTCTCTATTGTTTAGTTTAGCACTATCTTGACCATTATATGTGTAACTGTTCAACTGTAGTCAACTTCTGTCTCATGGTTTCTCCTGTTCATGTTTTTCCAAATCAAAAATATGTTTATATTTAACTCCCATGGGGATGAAAGACTCTTCCTACACTATGTTCATCCAAAGTTGCAGAATCCTTCATTGTTTGGTTACATTTTCAGGTATATAACTACATATTTTGGACTCTTCCTTGAAAGGTAACAACAGAGCTTTTTAGTTCAGTACATCCCAGACTTCAATAACAGCTGACTGATTGATTCACAAGAAAATAATCTCGGTATGCTAATTCTTGCTTCCTGCACATTTTTGTACAGTCTGGAGGGGGACAAATATACCAGATGGACAATTTGTTATTGATTCCCAGAGAAACCAACTAGTGGGAGCTCCAGATGTCCTCCCAGTTATCTTCAGAAATATCTGGTATTCATCATCTCTGACTGTTTTACACTATTAATTCTATTTGGGACATCTTAAATTGTAACAGGTGGATGTGTAATGATGAGATAAAGCCCTAGTGTCTTAGTGACTTCATAACACCAATTAAAGACAATATCCAAATAGGCACAGCTCTGTTTTAAATTGAACATTCAGTTCATGCTTTAACTGTAAATATTTCATAATAAAAGAATGCTGTTTGGGGTGTGTGAACTTTGTCAAAAGGCTGGTAAAAGAAGCACAGCACACCAGGTTTCTATAATTGTTGAAATTATAGTATACCTTGAGATAACCACCTAACCACAGGTCTGGACAACACAGCAAGATAGATAGATAGATACCACAGTAGCATGTTTGCCATTTTCCCCTTGTTTTTATGAGAAGTATTTAGACTTGAACATCTACCCTATGAATGTGAAGTACTGTCTTTGCATCTGGCCTCTAAATCTTATATATTACAGTCTGGCTAGGTCATCTTGGAAAGTATTTGGGTTGGGTAGATAGGTCTTTGGTTTGGTGCTGACCAAAAGCAGCAAATGTATTAAGATATTTTAATTGCTAAAAAAATCCTGTATCTCTAGACATCTTGCAGTAATAAAATGGATATGCATTTAACAAAATGTATACGGTTAAAGACTGACATTGGGGGTTTGGGTCATCTTTAGAATTTTTACTTTGTGTTTAAATGTGTGTTTTTGTTAAAATGACATGTATTATATGCTGATTGATTGTCCAGTTAATTTCCAGGCTGATAAATTAGAAATGCGATCACACAGGGACCTGTACATACGCACACATCAGTAGAACCATATACATGCACACAATAGGTTGGACTTGATGGACTTATGTATTTATTCAACCTCAAATACTATGTAATATAAATACTTCTATATAACCAAAATGCATGTATCCTGTATATACTTATATAAAACTAAAGTGCCTATATCATAACCCCCAAACTTGTATAAACTCTCCCAGGTAAAAATTCAATATTATAAATATACAACAAATAAAAAATCAAATTGTGCAATTCTGCCTGTGTATCCACCATACAGTGTGATATATTTCACATAAAACAATCCACAAGCCACTTCTTATGCATCATAGTGAATGATCGTTTCAAATTCTCCCAACACTTGTGTATAGTGAAACTTGTGCTCCACTTCAAACAATCAGATGCTTCTCAGTGTTAGTCCCAGGTGCCTCCTATTCAAATTCAATATTGCACTCATCAGATTCTTTAGACCACTATTAGATGGTCCAAAATTTTTTTAAATATGTAATCCCTGAGGATCCGGCTCCTTCCCCGTTCCAAACAATAAATGGCTGCTTCATCCGTACAGAGATGGCTCTTGTGACTCTCTCATATCCTACAGAGCAAAGTTAGACGCTACATAGTGTAAAATACTATTAAACTTTAATAATATATACGTTAAACACTTAAATTAAAATTCAATAAGCAGCGCTGCATTAAAAAACTCCCCCCTTAGGCGTGCAATACTTTTCCAGTCAGTGACAGCTCGTTCCTGTTTCTGTGCTATCAATCATTTCTCTACTCTGAAGATTCCCGATACCAATGTGATGACATTAGCGTGTAGACTCCTTCCTGATGCGTTTAGTCAGAATTACTTTTTTAAGTTATAAATGAACAATTATATTACCCGCTATTTATTCTGGAGATTGTAAAGGGAATTCCGGTTGAGGAAACACGGGACTTTTCTTGGATTGAACAAGTTATTTTCCCTATTTATTACCTTCTCCTATCCATTTCTCAACTATTATTAATAAAACTGTTTTAAATCTAGTTCTATATTCAAACCCCTGGGCTTCATTGTATCTAATAAAAAAAAAATGTCGTTTAATTCTGTGAAATCATTCTGGTTCTATTAGAAACCCCTCCAATGAGTGCGGGTTTTTCTAATGGACATCTCAGAAGTGTTTCGACACACTGTGTTTATCAAACCCATTTCCAGTATTATTAATGTTTTCTTTAACCCTAATTCGTAATTCTCTGGTCCTACCCACGTATTGGTAGCTACACAGGCATTCCAATGCGTAGGTAACAAGTTTTAGAATCCCACACCCCCAAAAAAGGTCTTTATTTTTGGTAGGGAGTCTACCACATTATGTACCAAATTATCTTTTAGGGCAGGGGCCTTCCTATAAATTACCCTGGGCCTCTTTGGAATAAGTGGGCCTAAAATCCTGTCCATTTTTAGCACCTACCCTTGTTTGCAAAAAATATTTTCCAGACCCTTGTATTACACTGTATAATTAGTCACACAACATACCGCATGTTTATCTCCTTTCTGTTCCTTCTCTTTTTTTAATAATATTGGAAATGGGTTTGATAAACAGTGTGTCGAAACACTTCAGAGATGCCCATAACAAAGACCCGACGGGGCTCATTCTTTATGGTATTGATAGAATCTACACTCATTGGAAGGGTACTAATAGAACCAGCATAAATTCCCAGAATAAAACTAAATTGATTTTTTTATTAGATACAATGAAGCCCAGGGGTTTGAATATAGAACTAGATTTAAACAGTTTTATTAATAATAGTTGAGAAATGGATAGGAGAAGGTAATAAATAGGGAAAATAACTTGTTCAATCCAAGAAAAGTCTTGGATTGTCTCCAAAATAAATAGCAGGTAATATAATTTACTAGAGGTGCAACTTTTAAATTTTTTTATATTTATTTTTTGTTCATTTTTTATTAAATATTTTTTTTTTTACTTTACTTTTAGGGGCTTCGGTGAAATATCAGGGGTCTAAACAGACCCCTGATATTTCCCTTTTAAAATATAAAAAGAGATTGAGAACACGGAGTCCTCAATCTTTTTTTCTGTATCCCCTGTTATCAATGAACAAGAATCCTCTGAGTGTTCGGCCGATATGTTTCGGCGGCCGATATATCTGTGCATCCCTATAATTTACAATTTATAACTTATCCCCTCTGTTTTTAATAACAAATGTTAATAATTGAATATTTATAAAGGGTTCATCAGTCTTAATATTTGACATATATTTTAAAATTAACAATTTAAACATTATTTTTTTCTCCTTTTTTTTCTGTTCATGTTTTTTTCTTATAAATGTCTGCGTTCATTTTTGATAGAACTGTGTGGACAGACGCCATCTATTGGTAGATTGGAATATAGTACCTGATTCTTGTATTCATGTATTTACACTGTTACTTTAATGACATCTGGTGTTGGAGTAGAATAGAACAGGGGTCAGCTCATATAAAAGAGGATGGAGTTGGCGTGTACACTACGAAACGCAGCAGGAAGGAGTCTACATGCTACACGTCATCACGTTGGTATCGGGAATCTTCAGAGTAGAGAAGTGATTGATAGCACAGGAACAGGATCGAGAGATCACTGACCAGAGAAGTGTCTCGACGGGGGAGTTTTTTAATGCAGCGCTGCTTGTGGAATTTTAATGTAAGTGTTTCAAGAATATATTATTAAAGTTTAATAGTATTTTAC